GAAGAAGATTGAAAGGGGAAAGAAACACACACACGCACACACACACACACACACACACGCGCGCGCACGAACACTTACATACAAACACACACACACACAGAAACGCTCGCACGCACATATATTCACATACACACAAACACACACAGAGGCACGTTTGGGCTGCAGCTTTTATCGATAAAAAGAAGACAAGAGAGAGATAGCATGACGAGTATATCGCTGCTTTCCCGTTTACTGTCCTCAGTGAGAGCCGAGTATATCGCTGCTTTCCCGTTGACTGTCCTTAGTAAGAGCCGAGTGGACTCAGCTGAAATTGACTGCAAATAAGAAACAAAGTCAGCAATAAGGCAGTATCATTTGTTGTCAAAGAGTGATGACGAGACAAGATCAGTTTGGACTGGTGTAGACATGTTATGCCCATGAATCAGCTAGATAAGCTGGTTACTGTTTACACACTTTATGATACAGAGAAAGTTTAAGATAAAGAGATAAAAGTAAGTCTGAAAAAGAGGGAAAGAGGAGAAGAGGCAGACCAGGAAAGACCTGGTTACAGAACCTGACTGACTGAACAGGCCTCAGGCACGCAACCATGAAGTCCATCACAACTGACCGCCAAAGGTGGAAAGAGCTGATCAGACAGTCAACAGAAACTGGTGACCCAACGCCACCTAGTGTTACTGGATGATGATGATAATAAAATATAAATTCTTTCATCTACAGGTGTGAAGTTCTATTGGACGTGCCAGAGATCAGATTTCAACACTTTCACCAGAGTCTGTCTGCTCCAGGGATGTAAAGTTCTATTGGACGTGCCAGAGATCAGATTTCAACACTTTCACCAGTCTGTCTGCTCCAGGAATGGCTAGCAGCATGCCCGTCAGTCTGGAGGATGAGGACAAACACGTGGAGAAGATTCCCATGACAGAAGACACCTTCGACAGTGGCACCAGCCCCTCCAACGGCGGCGACCTGATGCCACACAAGTTTGCTCCCAATATGATGGACATTCTGCAGGAGTTCACACAACGTACTACCTTCCACGGAGTCAAACTGATTTTCAAAGAACGCGTCGGGATTGTCAGGAGGTAGGTTCTAGATTAAGACCGAAGGTTTGTCAAGAAGTGAGTTCTAGATTAAATCTGAGAGATAATCTGGGTATAGGTTCTAGATTAAATCTAAGGGATTATCTGGGTGTAGGTTCTAGATTAAATCTGAGGGATTATCTCGATGTAGGTTCTAGATTAAATTCGAGGGTTTGTCAGGAGGTAAGTTCTAGATTAAATCTGCCCGATTGTCAGAAGGTAAGTTCTAGATTAAATCTGCGGGATTGTAAGGAGGTAGATTTTAGATTAAATCTGAGGGTTTGTCAGGAGGTAAGTTTTAGATTAAATCTGAGGGATTGCAAGGATGTAAGTTCTAGATTAAATCTGAGGAATTATCAGGAGGTAAGTTCCAGATTAAATCTAAGGTATTGTCAGGAGGAAAGGTCTAGATTAAATCGGAGGGATTGTCAGGAGGTGAGTTCTAGATTAAATCTGAGGGATGGTAATGAGGTAAGTTCTAGATTAAATCTGAGGAATCGTAAGGAGGTAACCTCTAGATTTAATCTGAGGTATTGTCAGGAGGTAAGTTCTAGATTAATTCTGCGGGATTGTCAGGCGGTAAGTTCTAGATTAAATCTGTGGGATTTTCAGGAGGTAAGTTCTAGATTAAATGTGCGGGATTGTAAGGAGGTAGATTTTAGATTAAATCCGAGGGTTTGCCAGGAGGTAAGTTCTAAATTAAATCTGCGGCATTGTCAGGAGGTAAGTTCTAGATTAAATCTGAGGGATTGCAAGGATGTAAGTTCTAGATTAAATCTGAGGAATTATCAGGAGGTAAGTTCCAGATAAAATCTAAGGTACTGTCAGGAGGAAAGGTCTAGATTAAATCGGAGGGATTGTCAGGAGGTGAGTTCTAGATTAAATCTGAGGGATGTTAATGAGGTAAGTTCTAGATTAAATCTGAGGAATCGTAAGGAGGTAACCTATAGATTAAATCTGAGGTATTGTCAGGAGGTAAGTTCTAGATTAAATCTGCGGGATTGTCAGGCGGTAAGTTCTAGATTAAATCTGTGGGATTTTCAGGAGGTAAGTTCTAGATTAAATCTGAAGGATTGTCAAGAGGTAAGTTCTAGATTAAATCTGCGGAAGTGTAAGGAGGTAAGTTGTAGATTAAATCTGCGGGATTGTAAGGAGGTAAGTTCTAGACTAAATCTGAGGGATTGTCAGGAGGTAAGTTCTAGATTAAATCTGCAGGGTTGTCAGGAGGTAAGTTCTAGATTACATCTGAGGGATTGTCAGGAGGTAAGTTCTAGATTAAATCTGCGGGATTGTAAGGAGGTAAGTTCTAGATTAAATCTGAGGGATTGCAAGAATGTAAGTTCTAGATTAAATCTGAGGAATTATCAGGAGGTAAGTTCTACATTAAATCTAAGGTATTGTCAGGAGGTAAGGTCTAGATTAAATTTGAGGGATTGTCAGGAGGTGAGTTCTAGATTAAATCTGAGGGATGGTAATGAGGTAAGTTCTAGATTAAATCTGAGGGATTGTAAAGAGGTAAGTTCTAGATTAAATCTGCAGGATTGTCAGAAGGTAGGTTCTAGATTAAATCTGAGAGATTTTCAGGCGGTAAGTTCTAGATTAAATCTGCGTGATTGTCAGGAGGTAAGTTCTAGATTAAATCTGATGGATTGTCAGGAGGTAAGTTCTAGATTAAATCTGCGGGATTGTAAGGAGGTAAGTTGTAGATTAAATCTGCGGAAATGTCAGGAGGTAAGTTCTAGATTAAATCTGAGGGATTGTCAGGAGTTAAGTTCTAGATTAAATCTGCGGGATTGTCAGGAGGTAAGTTCAAGATTAAATCTGAGATATTGTCAGGAGGTAAATGCTAGATTAAATCCGAGGAATTATCAGGTACGTTCTAGATTAAATCTGAAAAATTGTGAAGAAGTAAGTTTTAGATCAAATTGGAGGGATGGTTAGAAGGAAAGTTCTATATTAAGTATGATAAATTGTGAGATAATAAGCACCTGATGAAATCGGAGCGATTATCTGCAGATGAGCTCTTGATTAAATATGAGGGATTATCAGGAAATATACGCAGTTTAAAACATCTGAGAAATGCGTGTGTTTAATAACGACCTTTCATTATGTTGTTCATTGTGATATATTTGCTGCTGATGGTATAGGATGTAACTTTAACCCCCTCTTTTTCAACCACCACCTGTGTCCACCTGTAGGGTCATTTGGTCGCTACTGCTGCTGGTCAGTACAGTGATGATGGGCGTCCAGGTGGTCAACCGACTGTTGTACTACTACAGCTACCCGGTGACTGTCAACTACAACGTCAACTTTGACAAGATGATGCACTTTCCCACCGTGACCATTTGCAACCAAAACTATTTCAGGTCAGTGACCCCAGTTCCACACATGTTTCTGGTAGATTTGATTTTCTCGTTCGTTGATTGGTTGTTTGCCTGGAGGGTTGTTTGCCTGGAGGGTTGTTTGCCTGGAGGGTTGTTTGTCTGGAGGGTTGTTTGCCTGGAGGGTTGTTTGCCTGGAGGGTTGTTTGTCTGGAGGGTTGTTTGCCTGGAGGGTTGTTTGTCTGAAGGATTGTTTGTCTGATGGTTGTTTGTCTGATGGTTGTTTGTCTGGAGGGTTGTTTGCCTGGATGGTTGTTTGCCTGGATGGTTGTTTGTCTGAAGGTTGTTTGCCTGGAGGGTTGTTTGTCTGAAGGATTGTTTGCCTGGAGGGTTGTTTGCCTGGAGGGTTGTTTGTCTGATGGTTGTTTGCCTGGAGGGTTGTTTGTCTGATGGTTGTTTGTCTGATGGTTGTTTGTCTGATGGTTGTTTGTCTGATGGTTGTTTGTCTGGAGGGTTGTTTGCCTGGAGGGTTGTTTGCCTGGAGGGTTGTTTGCCTGGAGGATTGTTTGTCTGATGGTTGTTTGCCTGGAGGGTTGTTTGCCTGGAGGGTTGTTTGTCTGATGGTTGTTTGTCTGGAGGGTTGTTTGCCTGGAGGGTTGTTTGTCTGAAGGATTGTTTGTCTGATGGTTGTTTGCCTGGAGGGGTGTTTGCCTGGAGGGTTGTTTGTCTGAAGGATTGTTTGTCTGATGGTTGTTTGTCTGATGGTTGTTTGCCTGGAGGGTTGTTTGCCTGGAGGGTTGTTTGTCTGAAGGATTGTTTGTCTGATGGTTGTTTGCCTGGAGGGTTGTTTGCCTGGAGGGGTGTTTGTCTGAAGGATTGTTTGTCTGATGGTTGTTTGCCTGGAGGGGTGTTTGTCTGAAGGATTGTTTGTCTTGATGGTTGTTTGCCTGGAGGGGTGTCTGTCTGGATGGTTGTTTTTCTTAAGGGTTGTTTGTCTGGATGTTTGTTTGTCTCGATAGGTGTGTGGCTGGAGGGTTGTTTTTCTGGAGGGTTGTTTGTCTGGAGGGTTGTTTGTCTGGAGGGTTGTTTGTCTGGAGGGTTGTTTTTCTGGAAGGCTGTTTGTCTAGAGGGTTATTTACCTGGAGGGTTCTTTGTTAGGAGAATTGTTTATTTTGAAAACTGTTTGTTTGGATGGCTGTTTGGCTAGAAGTTTGTTTGTTTAGATGGTTGTTTATTTGTTTGGATGGTTTTTTGTTTAGAGGGTTGTTTGTATGGAGGGTTGTTTGGTTGCAGGGTTGTTTGTTTAGCTGGGTAATGGGTTAGTTTTTAGGAGGGAGGTGAGGGGTGGGCTAGTGTTTTTCTTATTTAGATAACTGATCAGTTGGTTGTATGGCTGATTGAGTGGTTGGATGGCTGATTGGGTGGTTTGATAGCTGATTGGGTATTTGGATGGCTGAAGGGGTGGTTGGATGGCTGATTGGGTGGTTAGATTACTGACTGGGTGGTTGGATTGCTGATTGGGTGGTTGGATTGCTGATTGGGTGGTTGGATTGCTGATTGGGTGGTATTGCTGATTGGGTGGTTGGATTGCTGATTGGGTGGTTGGATTGCTGATTTGGTGGTTGGATTGCTGATTAGGTGGTTGGATTGCTGATTGGGTTGTTGGATTGCTGATTGGGTGGCAACATGTAATATCCACAATCAGTCATCCAGTGACTTCCCTGGTGGTGACACGCAATATTCACAATCAGTCATCCCGTGACTTCCCTGATGGCAACATGTAATATCCACAATCAGTCATCCCGTGACTTCCGTGGTGGCGACACGTAATAACCACAATCAGTCATCCCGTGACTTCCCTGGTGGCGCCACGCAATATCCACAATCAGTAATCCCGTGACTTTCCTGGTGGTGACATGTAATATCCACAATCAGTAATCCCGTGACTTCCCTGGTGGTGACATGTAATATCCACAGTCAGTCATCCCGTGACTTCCCTGGTGGTGACATGTAATTTCCACAATCAGTCATCCCATGACTTCCCTAATGGTGACATGCAATATCCACAGACAGTCATCCGTGACTTCCCTGGTGGTGAGGCACAATATCCACAGTCAGTCATCCCGTGACTTCCCTGGTGGTGACATGTAATATCCATAATCTGTCATCCAGTTACTTCCCTTGTGGTGGCACGTAATATCCACAATCCGTCATTCAGTGACTTCCCTGGTGGTGACATGTAAAATCTAAAATCCGTCATCCAGTTACTTCCCTGGTGGTGACATGTAAAATCCAAAATCCGTCATCCAGTGACTTCCCTGGTGGTGACATGTAATATCCATAATCTGTCATTCAGTGACTTCCCTGGTGGTGACATGTAAAATCCACATCCGTCATCCAGTGACTTCCCTGGTGGTGACATGTAAAATCCACATCCGTCATCCACTGATATGAAAGTTCAGTGTACATAGTTAACTATAAGTTTTTCACATAACGGGTTAATTTGTTGAATTGTTCCGCTGGAAATCTTTGGAATCGTGTGTGATCATCCTGGTCCTGGGTTCTGGGTCGACAGGGTAACGGAGGCGTCTGCAAGGCAGTGGTACGAGTTGCTGGGAGACCTGAACAACGCTTCGGTCACACTGAGCGAAGAGAAACTGGAGCAATACAACGCTACCTTGCTGACCTTGGCAGATCTGTACCTGGGCACGGCCCATCAGAAGGAGGACTTTATTGTGGGGTATGTCTATTTGTTGTTGTTGTTGTTGTTGTTGTTGTCAGGAAATGATTTGACATGGGTACGACGCATCAGATATATTTTAAAGTGCCGTGAATCTCTTAGTTGCATTCAATAATTTCACAAATAAGATTTCTAAAAAAAGAGATTAAATAACACAACATGTGAGTTCATTAATGACGATGGTGAAGATGGTGTTGATGATGTGAATATCAATACAATCAACAAAGGCAATCATTATAATCAGAGATGTCGTAAAATATTATACCAGGGCTGTTCCAAAATCAGCTGCAGACTCGCTGGTTTAAAAACCCAAAAACGCCCCTGGTCACAGAGACACCATTCATTGCTTACGTCGTTTAGCAGCCTTTGAGCTCACCATACACCAACCTACATTCGTATTTGTTCAGTGGTTCGCGAATTGCAAACGAGTAAAAATGGACACCGTTCCTATATTTTCTGTCAGTTGTAAAATTCGTGGTGTGATTCGTTTTTTTTTTCAGGCAGAAGGTCAAAATTGCGCCGAGATTGGTCGTGGATTGCGTCGTGTGTATGGTGTTGAGGTTATATATGTCTGGTCTATGAGGAATTGTTGCTGGAGAGGGGCGTAAAGATATGCATGATTAGGGTGGACAAGGGTGACATTCATCAGCAGATGAACTAATTAAAACATTGACCAAGAAGTAGTGGAAAAGCGCCGTTTCACAATGTCAGATCTTTCTACAGAATTTCTTCAAATGTCTAGGACTAGTTATGTCGAACTGACACAGAGAAATGAAGTTATTATACATGTCTAGGACTAGTCAAGTCGAACTGACACAGAGAGCTGAAATTATTATACAAGACTAGGACTAGTCATGTCGAACTGACACAGAGAGGTGAGGTTATTATACATGTCTAAGACTAGTCAAATCGAACTGACACAGAGAGGTGAGGTTATTATACAAGACTAGGACTAGTCAAGTCGAACTGACACAGAGAGCTGAAATTATTATACAAGACTAGGACTAGTCATGTCGAACTGACACAGAGAGGTGAGGTTATTATACATGTCTAAGACTAGTCAAATCGAACTGACACAGAGAGGTGAGGTTATTATACAAGACTAGGACTAGTTATGTCAAACTGACACAGAGAGCTGAAATTATTATACATGTCTAAGACTAGTCAAGTCGAACTGACACAGAGAGGTGAGGTTATCACAAATGTCTAGGTCTAGTCTCGTCGAACTGACACAGAGAGGTGAGGTTATCACAAATGTCTAGGTCTAGTCTCGTCGAACTGACACAGAGAGGTGAGGTTATCACAAATGTCTAGGTCTAGTCTCGTCGAACTGACACAGAGAGGTGAGGTTATCACAAATGTCTAGGACTAGTCATGTCGAACTGACACAGAGAGGTGAGGTTATCACAAATGTCTAGGACTAGTCTGGTCGAACTGACACAGAGAGGTGAGGTTATCACAAATGTCTAGGACTAGTCTCGTCGAACTGACACAGAGAGGTGAGGTTATCACAAATGTCTAGGACTAGTCATGTCGAACTGACACAGAGAGGTGAGGTTATCACAAATGTCTAGGACTAGTCTGGTCGAACTGACACAGAGAGGTGAGGTTATCACAAATGTCTAGGACTAGTCTCGTCGAACTGACACAGAGAGGTGAGGTTATCACAAATGTCTAGGACTAGTCTCGTCGAACTGACACAGAGAGGTGAGGTTATCACAAATGTCTAGGACTAGTCTCGTCGAACTGACACAGAGAGGTGAGGTTATCACAAATGTTGTTTATGGTGGGCGCCTTTTGGTCCCAAAACAATGTAAAAATCATCTTTTTTTTTTAATTGCGAAAAAGTTTGCATGCATTTTTTGGGCTTGTTTAGATCATTAGTTTGCATCCACTGCATTTCATTGACTGTTCATTCGTCTCTGCTTGTCTCTGAACCTATGTTCCGTTCCCAGTCAATTTTCTGTCGAGAAATGCATCTCCATTTTCCCAGTAGGACTTGAAACTGAGCCCATTCTCTGAGATTTGATAACGTCAGCAAGTTGCCTTGGTTGCCTGACCTCTCTGTGACAATCGGAAACAGACAAGTCCTAGAAGTACCAGTCCTGGTACATAGAAACAATAATATGAAAGAAGACATTCATAACGATGCCAGTAAACATCACAAACCTGAGCCAGTTGACCAGGACTTAGATGATGAAAACTCCACGGCGCTGATGCAGTGACAGCATCCTTTCGTGCCGGGGTGGAGGTCTTCTCAGCCCTTGCCTCCCCAAATCGACAAGCGTTAAACGGTTACCAGAATGTTTCACTGGAAGTAAAGGCGGCCAGTGAGATGGGCACTACGTGACACATGGCGGCAGATTGGGGTACAAAAGCGTGGTCTAGCACGTAGATGCTTTGTCCCAGTGGCGTGAAAATGGCCCGTGAGGGCCCAAACTCCTGGCCTAGCCTGACCTTCTCATTCTGACTGGCAGGTGTGAATGGCAGAACCAGGTGTGTGGCCCACACAATTTCACACAGGTGCTCACAGACCAGGGCGTGTGTTACAGCTTCAACGATAACCGTACCTTACCCCTGTCTACTTCCTCGGCAGGTCAGTCTTACTTCTTCATTGATTGTTTTTAATTGTTTGCGGCACTCGTTAATTGTTTGTCACACTCTTTAATTGTTTGTTACACTTGTTAATTGTTTGTTACACTGGTTAATACACTGTTTCTCTTGTCAATTGTTTGTTTTGCTCGTTAATTGTTTGTTATACTCGTTAATTGTTTGCCACACTTCTTAATACACTGTTCGCCTTGTTCATTGTTTGTTTTCCTTGTTAATTGTTTGTTATACTCATTGATAAACAGTTTCCTCTGTTAATTGTTTGTTTCACTCGTTAATTGTTTGTTATAGTCGTTGATTACACAGTTTCTCATGTCAATTGTTTGTTTTGCTTGTCAATTGTTTGTTACACTCGATAATTGTTTGTTAAACTCGTTAATTGTTTGTTACACTCGTTAATTGTTTGTTACACTCGTTAATTGTTTGTTACACTCGATAATTGTTTGTTAAACTCGTGAATTGTTTGTTACACTCGTGAATTGTTTGTTATACTCGTTGATACACAGTTTCCTTTGTTAATTGTTTGTTACACTCGTTAATTGTTTGTTACACTCGTTAATTGTTTGTTACACTCGTTAATTGTTTGTTAAACCCGTTAATTGTTTGTTACACTCTTTAATTGTTTGTTCAACTCGTTAATTATTTGTTACACTTGTTAATTGTTTGTTACACTCGTTAATTTTTTGTTCCACACGGTAATTGTTTGTTACACTCGTTAATACATTGTTCGCCTTGTTCATTGTTTGTTTCCTTTATTAATTGTTTAGCCCTGAAAAGTTGCGGCATGAACAAAGGTCACCTTCTTTGACAAAAGGTATATTAAGAGGCTTCTGACCATTCCTATACACAGAAATTCCAATATCTTCTGCCAGTTGATTTCAGTGTTGCAGTCTGGAACCCTAAAGCTCCACTTTGTTCTTCGGTAGTTTAAAATCTCTTACAAGATCATTCAATTTACTTTTATGTATTAAGTGTGGTTTAGTGGATGCAGTTTGCTCAAAATCTGTGTTACTTGAGGTTGTTGGTTCAAGACCACCATTGTCAACTTTTGAATCAATGGAAGCAGTTGAAAATAATGTTGGCACTCTGAGTACTGGTAGGTCATCGTTATGGGGCACTGGAAGTATTGCAGAATAATGTTAGGATACCTCAGGGTCCATTTCTTCTTCTTCGATATGACTTTCCCAATTGGAAAAACCGTGCACGAATTTGTTGAGATGATCAGTGGGCTGTGTGGGCTATGTGGGCTGTGTGGGCTGTGTGGGCTATGTAGGCTATGTGGTCTATGTGCGCTGTGTGGGCTATGTGGGCTATGTGGTCTGTGTGGTCTATGTCGGCTATGTGGGCTGTGTGGGCTATGTGGGCTATGTGGGCTGTGTTCGCTGTGTGGGCCATGTGGGCTATGTGGGCTATGTGGGCTGTGTGGGCTATGTGGGCTGTGTGGGCTATGTGTGCTGTGTAGGCTATGTGGGGTATGTGGGCTGTGTGGGCTATGTGTGCTGTGTAGGCTATGTGGGGTATGTGGGCTGTGTAGGACATGGATTGACTTTCGCCAGCCAACCACAGTTTAAGATTTGCTGCACCTGAATTACAACAAATGTGTGGCGTCCAGCTCTTATCTTGATCTCCTTTTCTACAGGTAAAAACACAAACTGAATATCTTCCTAATCACATTAGGTTTTTTTTTTGGGGGGGGGGGGTGGGGTGGGGTGGGGGGGGGGGGTAATGTCACCTCCCCACAAACATGACATCAGTTATCAGCAACATTTTGTCAGAGATCAAAGATTTATACATGAAAGTGATGTAATCATAGGTAGGACTACATCACCATCTTCTATTTACAGTTTTATTGTTCATTAGACAAAAATGCAACCAGCCACAAGAGTTGTCTCATATATATATATATATAATTAGGACCTAGAACCATGTGAAATCACAAGTGCTGCTATGTAAGTTGATCACGAATGTCGATCTATGTTAAATCACAGTTAGGGAAGGTGATCACATATGTGAAACCATGTGAAATGACAGGTACTGATATGGAAGGTGATCACGTATGTGGATCCATGTGAAAGCACAGGTGCTGATAGGGAAGGTGATCACGTATGTGCAACCATGTAAAATCATAGATGCTGTTAGGGAAGGTGATCACGTATGTGGAACCACGTGAAATCACAGGTGCTGTTAGGAAAGGTGATCACGTATGTGGATCCATGTGAAATCATAGATGCTGTTAGGAAAGGTGATCATGTATGTGGATCCATGTGAAATCACAGATGCTGATAGGGAACGTGCTCACGTATGTGGAACCACGTGAAATCACAGATGCTGATAGGGAATGTGATCACGTGAAACCACAGATGCTGATAGGGAAGGTGATCACGTATGTGGATCCATGTGAAATCACAGATGCTGAAGGGAAGGTGATCACGTATGTGGATCCATGTGAAATCACAGATGCTGATAGGGAAGGTGATCACGTATGTGGATCCATGTGAAATCACAGATGCTGAAGGGAAGGTGATCACGTATGTGGATCCACGTGAAATCACAGATGCTGAAGGGAAGGTGATCACGTATGTGGATCCATGTGAAATCACAGATGCTGATAGGAAAGGTGATCACGTATGTGAATCCATGTGAAATCACACATGCTGATAGTGAAGGTGATCACGTATGTGGATCCATGTGAAATCACAGATGTTGATAGGGAAGGTGATCACGTATGTGGATCCTTGTGAAATCACAGATGCTGATAGGGAAGGTGATCACGTATGGGGATCCATGTGAAATCACAGATGTTGATAGTGAAGGTGATCACGTATGTTCTCTTGCAGGGCCTGGCACTGGTCTTCAGCTGACGCTCAATGTAGAACAGTACGAGTATATGCCTGGAACCAGCAGTGCGGCTGGGGTAAAGATCCTACTGCACAACTTTGAACAGTTCCCCAGAGTAGGCCAACTTGGACTAGCTATAGCTCCAGGGTCTCATGCCTTTGTGGGCGTGGATCTATTGAAGGTATCATTGTGTGTGTGTGTGTGTGCGTGTGTGTGCGTGTGTGTGTGTGAGTGCGCGCGCGCGCGCGTGTGTGTGTGAGCCTGTTGCAGTTCCTTGTGGCAGCCGTTATCACGGTTTTGTGTGTGTGACCATTATTGAAACTTTATTTGTCACGAGTTTAAACAACGGTATAGCCAATTGAGAATGCCTTTAGCAGGCTCTCTCTCTCTCTCTCTCTCTCTCTCTCTCTCTCTCTCTCTCACACACACACACACACACACACACACACACACACACACTAGTGTTCAGGGAAAGAAATCTACGAAAGTCGAACATTAAACATCACAGAATCGCGGCTCTCCGTTGTGTATCATGAAAAGATATAAACCCGAACGAAAAGTATATAAGCAAGCTTCACAATATAACAAATACAAACAAAACGTGAACGTTGCGGCTATTTAGCCTTCATCAGTACTTACAAATGAAACAATACTACACAGAAACACAAAATCACTTATCTGGTATGTCTAGGCAGCCGGGTCGTTGTTTCTCAGCAGAATCCGTTGTGTATCGGCAAGACTCTCGCCTACTGGTCGGAAGGTCGTGGGTTCGTGTCCTGACAGTACCGGACCTTTGCTGTCCAAAAATGACCTTGGTTCCCAGGTGGACTCAGCCTTGACACGATACACCCAGACCAGAGCACGATAGACCCAGACCAGAGCCCGATACACCCAGACCAGAGCACGATACACCCAGACCAGAGCACGATACACCCAGACCATAGCACGATACACCCAGACCATAGCACGATACACCCAGACCATAGCACGATACACCCAGACCAGAGCCCGATACACCCAGACCAGAGCACGATACACCCAGACCAGAGCCCGATACACCCAGACCAGAGCATGATACACCCTGACCAGAGCACGATACACCCAGACCAGAGCCCGATACACCCAGACCAGAGCATGATACACCCAGACCAGAGCTTGATACACCCAGACCAGAGCATGATACACCCAGACCAGAGCATGATAAACCCAGACCAGAGCACGATACACCCAGACCATAGCACGATACACCCAGACCAGAGCCCGATACACCCAGACCAGAGCATGATACACCCAGACCAGAGCACGATACACCCAGACCAGAGCCCGATACACCCATACCAGAGCATGGTACACCCAGACCAGAGCTTGATACACCCAGACCAGAGCATGATACACCCAGACCAGAGCATGATACACCCAGACCAGAGCTTGATACACCCAGACCAGAGCTTGATACACCCAGACCAGAGCTTGATACACCCAGACCAGAGCTTGATACACCCAGACCAGAGTTTGATACACCCAGACCAGAGCCCGATACACCCAGACCAGAGCATGATACACCCAGACCAGAGCATGATACACCCAGACCAGACCCGATACACCCAGACCAGACCCGATACACCCAGACCAGACCCGATACACCCAGACCAGAGCATAATACACCCAGACCAGAGACCGATACACCCAGACCAGAGAACGATACACCCAGACCAGAGACCGATACACCCAGACCAGGGACTTCATTATCAACCCTATGTGTCTGAGCGTTTGGTGATGTCCACCATTTCGGAAGTTAATGGTCAAGCAGCTACTTCGCGGATTGCTCCTGTGGTGTCCGTTATATCTGTTTGTTCTGATGGACCGGGTTTGGCCGAATCAACAGTTTCGGTTCAGCGGAGCATGGAATTAGAGCTTTATTTTCGGTAAAAACTGACCTTAGCTCCCGGATCAGCCAAGCGTAAAATGGGTGTCAGGTAATGTTCTGGGATGTAAAGGCGGCTAGGGTGATAGTGATCACCTCAGCCACCGCGTGCCGATTGATTGGTGCAGAGACAGATCTAGCACCACATGCCTGAAGCACCAAATGCCTGAAGCACCACATGACTGAAGCACCACATGACTGAAGCACCACATGCCTGAAGCTCCACATGACTGAAGCACCACATGACTGAAGCACCACATGACTGAAGCACCACATGACTGAAGCACCACATGCATGAAGCACCACAGGACTGAAGCACCACATGACTGAAGCACCACATGCCTGAAGCACCACATGACTGAAGCACCACATGCCTGAAGCACCACATGACTGAAGCACCACATGCCTGAAGCACCACATGACTGAAGCACCACATGACTGAAGCACCACATGCCTGAAGCACCACATGCCTGAAGAACCACATGCCTGAAGCACCAAATGACTGAAGCACCACATGACTGAAGCACCACATGCCTGAAGCACCACATGACTGAAGCACCACACGCCTGAAGCACCACATGACTGAAGCACCACATGACTGAAGCACCACATGCCTGAAGCACCACATGCCTGAAGCACCACATGACTGAAGCACCACATGCCTGAAGCACCACATGACTGAAGCACCACATGCCTGAAGCACCACATGACTGAAGCACAACATGCCTGAAGCACCACATGCCTGAAGCACCACATGCCTGAAGCACCACATGCCTGAAGCACCACGTGCCTAGAAACTCACCCCTTTGCTTTGAGTGAAGTTAGTTGTGTTTCCTTGACAGGGCAGTACAAAACCAACCCAACATTTGTTCTCTGTTTGGTTTTGCATTGCATATGGCACCCTAAACATCCCCATCGGCATCAACATCAAATACCTTGACCACTGCAGTGGACGATCATGTTCTTTCAAGAGAACTTAATCTCTGTAAACCTGTATATGCAGATTCCAGTATGTCTGTAAACTTGTATATGTAGATTCCAGTATGTCTGTAAACCTGTATATGTAGATTCCATTATATCTGTAAACTTGTATATGTAGATTCCAGTATGTCTGTAAACTTGTATATGTAGATTCCAGTATGTCTGTAAACTTGTATATGTAGATGCCAATATGTCTGTAAACCTGTATATGCAGATTCCAGTATGTCTGTAAACTTGTATTTGAAGATTCCAGTATGTCTGTAAACTTGTATATGTAGATGCCGATATGTCTGTAAACCTGTATATGCAGATTCCAGTATGTCTGTAAACTTGTATTTGAAGATTCCAGTATGTCTGTAAACTTGTATTCGTAGATTCCAGTATGTCTGTAAACTTGTATTTGTAGATTGCAGTATGTCTGTAAACTTGTATTTGTAGATTCCAGTATGTGTGTAAACTTGTATTTGTAGATTCCAGTGTGTCTGTAAACTTGTATTTGTAGATTCCAGTATGTGTGTAAATTTGTATATGTAGATTCCAGTATGTCTGTAAACTTGTATTTGTAGATTCCATTATATCTGTAAAAGTGTTTATGTAGGTGAATAATTTAGCCAAGCCCCATGGACGCTGCCGGAGTGGACCTTCAGTTTACTATGGCCAGTACTCACCGGATGCCTGCCAGCTGGCCTGTATGACCGTCTACCTGGACGATCTGTGCAGCTGTAGGCACATCTACCTGCCTCACGATCAAGGTCAGTCGTCGATGTCATTTTCTGTTTAACTGTCGCAATCGAGCGTTGTTTCTTTATTCTCTCGGGCATACAGACGGCCTGTCTTGTGTTGCTCTTGTTATTGTTCTTCTTCTTCTTCTTCTTCTTCTTCTTCTTCTTCTTCTTCTTCTTCTTCTTCTTCTTCTTCTTTTTCTTCTTCTTCTTCTTCTTCTTCTTCTTCTTCTTCTTCTTCTTCTTCTTCTTCCTCTTCTTCTTCTTCGGCGTCGCCTTCTTCTCATGCAAAGTTAGGCATTTTCGTGAAAGTCTCCAACGGAAGGATTAGTTCCGTTTACATTTGTAACATCTTAAAGCCGAACTGACTGATACGACACAGAGGAAACAATGAACAGATTTTCACAAAAAGAAAGCTTGTGAAAACTGCACATTGATGATAGAACTGAGAGAACAGTGAACATTATCTGTGTACGACATAGGGACAGGTTGTGAGCTTGAGGGCAAAAAAAGAAAGGAAAAAACACACAAGATGAATACCTGGATAACTTGACCGGTTGGTATATGAGGGTGGGGGGGGGGGGGGGAAAACAACACTGACTTGATCCATGAATTGGCTCATCATGTGGTATGTGGGTAAATCATTGGCACGTCACACGATGGTGATGAAGTCGTACACTGAACCCCACACACTCACATTCGAACACACACACAGACACACACACAGACACACACACAGATACACACACAGACACACACACACACAGACACACACACACATACACCCACACATACAGACACACACACAGATACACACACAAATCTGCCCAATCCTTTCTCAAACCAGAGACGATGATTGCTCATAGGTGCCCAGCTAGTACGTGCAACCGGCACCATAGAATTCAGGAAATTCCCATAAACGCCCCGTCCCCATATTCAGCAGCCAGGGGAAAGTTTCAGTTGTAATGGTGCATGTAGCGGTTTGATAATCTGTCAGTCTTACTTATCCTCTGTGTGTCGTCTGTTGCTCAACCAACGTCTCTCCACACCGCTGCTCCCTCTATGTGTCGTCTGTTGCTCAACCATTCTCTCCACACCGCTGCTCCCTCTATGTGTTGAGTGTTGCTCAACCATTCTCTCCACACCGCTGCTCCCTCTATGTGTTGAGTGTTGCTCCACCATTCTCTCCACACCGCTGCTCCCTCTATGTGTTGTCTGTTGCTCAACCATTCTCTTCACACCGCTGCTCCCTCTATGTGTTGAGTGTTGCTCAACCATTCTCTTCACACCGCTGCTCCCTCTATGTGTTGTGTTCTGCTCCACCATTCTCTTCACACCGCTGCTCCCTCTATATGTTGTGTGTTGCTCAACCATTCTCTTCACACCGCTGCTCCCTCTATGTGTTGTGTGTTGCTCAACCATTCTCTTCACACCGCTGCTCCCTCTATGTGTTGTGTTCTGCTCAACCATTCCCTTCACACCGCTGCTCCCTCTATGTGTCGTCTGTTGCTCAACCATTCTCTTCACACCGCTGCTCCCTCTATGTGTTGAGTGTTGCTCAACCATTCTCTTCACACCGCTGCTCCCTCTATGTGTTGAGTGTTGCTCCACCATTCTCTTCACACCGCTGCTCCCTCTATGTGTTGAGTGTTGCTCCACCATTCTCTTCACACCGCTGCTCCCTCTATGTGTTGTGTTCTGCTCAACCATTCTCTCCACACCGCTGCTCCCTCTATGTGTTGAGTGTTGCTCAACCATTCTCTTCACACCGCTGCTCCCTCTATGTGTTGAGTGTTGCTCCACCATTCTCTTCACACCGCTGCTCCCTCTATGTGTTGAGTGTTGCTCCACCATTCTCTTCACACCGCTGCTCCCTCTATGTGTTGAGTGTTGCTCCACCATTCTCTTCACACCGCTGCTCCCTCTATGTGTTGTGTGTTGCTCAACCATTCTCTCCACACCGCTGCTCCCTCTATGTGTTGAGTGTTGCTCCACCATTCTCTTCACACCGCTGCTCCCTCTATGTGTTGAGTGTTGCTCAACCATTCTCTCCACACCGCTGCTCCCTCTATGTGTTGAGTGTTGCTCCACCATTCTCTTCACACCGCTGCTCCCTCTATGTGTTGTGTTCTGCTCAACCATTCTCTCCACACCGCTGCTCCCTCTATGTGTTGAGTGTTGCTCAACCATTCTCTTCACACCGCTGCTCCCTCTATGTGTTGAGTGTTGCTCCACCATTCTCTTCACACCGCTGCTCCCTCTATGTGTTGAGTGTTGCTCCACCATTCTCTCCACACCGCTGCTCCCTCTATGTGTTGAGTGTTGCTCAACCATTCTCTTCACACCGCTGCTCCCTCTATGTGTTGAGTGTTGCTCCACCATTCTCTTCACACCGCTGCTCCCTCTATGTGTTGAGTGTAGCTCCACCATTCTCTTCACACCGCTGCTCCCTCTATGTGTTGAGTGTTGCTCAACCATTCTCTCCACACCGCTGCTCCCTCTATGTGTTGTGTGTTGCTCAACCATTCTCTTCACACCGCTGCTCCCTCTATGTGTCGTCTGTTGCTCCACCATTCTCTCCACACCGCTGCTCCCTCTATGTGTTGAGTGTTGCTAAACCATTCTTTTCACACCGTTATGGTCTGCTCCCTCTGCCACATTAAAAAATAAACGCACAAAGGAAGAAACATCTCATCCTTCAATCTCCATTCCAATCACATCGACTATGTATCCAGTCCTGGGAAGCCTGCATCGATCCCTAGGTCAGTCAGACGCCAACTCCACCAGTTGACGCTTCTCTAAACGCGATATCAAAAATCAGAACCGTTCTTGGTGATAATTATACTGATTTGCATCATCCAACTCCTCTATTGTGTCCACAGAGGCATGCCCAAACGGTGATTCCCACACATGAATGTCAGTGACTGGAAACACTGTCTCTCTGTGTCAACAAACATCATATGTGGCCTCTGTCTGTGTCAAAATTCTCAGTCGTGGGGGGCCTTTGTCAATAAATATTATATTGGTATTGTTTTTCTGTGTATGACTCAGCGGAGAGGTTTAGCGTTCAATCCCTGATGTCCGGGCATTTCATCTTCTTTCTGAACGTCTCCTTTTGTACATATATTTAGTTACTGGTGTCTGTATATCTGTCTGTTTGTCGCTCCTTCAGACGATCTGTCTGTCTTTGTAGCTGTCTTTCTGTCTGCCTATTGACTTGTCTATCTGTACATCTATGTATAAATCCATCCATCTATCGAACTATCAATGCTGCATCCATCAGGCCGTCCACCCGAATCTATTCTGACTTTTGGTGTTTTTATTTTGTCCGTCAATCTGTCTGTCCATATTTACATGTGTGTAGAACGTGGAGACATACAGAAACAAACTGACGTGTGGGAAAACTTGTTAATCTTTTATCGTTTCGGTTTCTGTTGATCATCTATCTTGTTAATCTTTGATCATTTCAGTTTCTATAGATCATCTTCCTTGTTAATCTTTGATCATCATTTCAGTTTCTATAGATCATATTCCTAGTTAATCTTTGATCATTTATATTTCTGTAAATCATAATGCTAGCTAATCTTTGATTGTTTCTGTTTCCATCAGTCCTATTCCTTGTTAATCTTTGATCATTTCAGTTTCTATAGATCATATTCCTAGTGAATCCTTGATTATTTCGGTTTCTGTAGATTATTTTCCTAGTTTATCTTTGATCATTTCTATTTCTGTAGATCATAATCCTAATTAACCTTTGATTGTTTCTGTTTCTGTCAGTCCTATTTCTTGTTAATCTTTGATCATTTAGTTTCTATAGATCGTATTCCTAGTTAATCTTTGATCATTTCGGTTTCTATAGATCATTTCCCTAGTTAATCATTGATCATTTCTATTTCTGTAGATCATAATCCTAGCTAATCTTTGATTGTTTCTGTTTCTGTCAGTCCTATTCCTTGTTAGTCTCAGATTGTTTCTGTTTCTGTCAGTCCTATTCCTTGTTAATCTTTGATCGTTTTAGAATGATGTTAACACGCCAGCCATGACCACAATGGGTTTAGCCCGTTCTATTTCTTTTCCACCAGACGCCCCACCCGTGTGCTCGCTGAATGAGTTCATGACCTGTCTGAGATCATACATGGGTAAGTATTGACCTGTCTGAGATCATACATGAGTCAGTACTGACCTGTCTGAGATCATACATGGGTAAGTATTGACCTGTCTGAGATCATACATGGGTAAGTATTGACCTGTCTGAGATCATACATGGGTAAGTATTGACCTGTCTGAGATCATACATGGGTAAGCATTGACCTGTCTGAGATCATACATGGGTAAGTATTGACCTGTCTGAGATCATACATGGGTAAGTATTGACCTGTCTGAGATCATATATGGGTAAGCATTGACCTGTCTGAGATCATACATGGGTAAGTATTGACCTGTCTGAGATAGGATAATGGTAAGTCCCTGTGCGGGTTCTGGGACCTCATTTCGGGGAAAAACAATAGACCTGCTCCCCGCCCCACTACAACCCCCCCCCCCCCATTTCTTTCAGCAAGCATGTCGTAAGTGTCAACTAACTAACGATATTTCCTTCAAAGGCGGAATCCATCTGCATGAGAAGGGAGGAACCAAAGTCTGATTGCAAATTAGCTAGATCTGCCAAGGTTGCATTAAGTCGTAAAAATGGACACAATCCCTAAGCCCAGTGGCCAGTCGTTCGACATAACCCTAAGCCCAGTGGCCAGTCGCTGGACATAACCCTAAGCCCAGTGGCCAGTTGTTGGACATAACCCTAAGCCTAGTGACCAGTCGCTGGTCATAACCCTAAGCCCAGTGGTCAGTTGCTGGACATAACCCTAAGCCCAGTCGCAAATAGTTAGTTGTGCCACTCAGTCAGACCCGTGTCCAGGTCGGGTTACTCGAGTCCCGACCATTGAAGATTTCTACAAGGAACTTGCACACAAAAATCAAGTTCTGGGACAAGACTAACCTTCAGCAATGAATGAAGAACGAAAACTCTTTGACGGATTTTACAGCTGGCGTACATCAGGAAATAGAAGAAGAAGTGGAAGAAGAAAAAGAAGAAGAAGAAGAAGAGGAAGAAGAAGAAGAAGAAGAAGAAGAAGAAGAAGAAGAAGAAGAAGAAGAAGAAGAAGAAGAAGAAGAAGAAGAAGAAGAAGAAGAAGAAGAAGAAGAAGAAGAAGAAGAAGAAGAAGGAGAAGAAGAAGAAGAAGAAGAAAAAGAAGAAACTTTGTCTTTCATCAATTAATATGGGGCCAGTATCCTTATTCATACTTCGTCTTTCATCAAATATTGTGGCACCTGTATCCTTAATCAAACTTCGTCTTTCATCACATATTGTGGCATCTGTATCCTTATTCAAACTTCGTCTTTCATCACATATTGTGGCACCTGTATCCTTATTCAAACTTCGTCTTTCATCACATATTGTGGCACCTGTATCCTTAATCAAACTTCGTCTTTCATCACATATTGTGGCACCTGTATCCTTAATCAGTCTTTTATCAAATAATGTGGCACAAGTATCCTTAATCAAACTTAGTCTCTCATCACATATTGTGGCGCCTGAATCCTTAATTAAACTTTGTCATTCATCACATACTGTGGCACAAGTATCCTTAATCAAACTTTGTCTTTCCTCACATATTGTGGCGCTGGTATCCCTAATCCAACAGTGTCTTTCATCACATATTGTGACGCTAGTATCCTTAATCAAACTTTGTCTTTCATCACATATTGTTGCGCCAATCAAACTGTGTCTTTCATCACATATTGTGGCGCAAGTATCCTTAATCAAACTTTGTTTTTCATCACATATTGTGGCGCAAGTATCCTTAATCAAACTTTGTCCTTCATCACAAATTGTGGCGCAAGTATCCTTAATCAAACTGTGTCTTTCATCACATATTGTGGCGCAAGTATCCTTAATCAAACTGTGTCTTTCATCACATATTGTGGCGCAAGTATCCTTAATCAAACTGTGTCTTTCATCACATATTGTGGCGCTGGTATCCCTAATCCAACAGTGTCTTTCATCACATATTGTGGCGCAAGTATCCTTAATCAAACTGTGTCTTTCATCACATATTGTGGCACCAGTATCTTTAATCAAACTTTGTCTTTCATCACATATTGTGGCACCAGTATCTTTAATCAAACTTTGTCTTTCATCACATATTGTGGCACCAGTATCCTTAATCAAACTTCATCTTTCATTACATATTGTGACACCAGTATCCTTAATCAGACTTCGTCTTTTATCACATATTGTGACACCAGTATCCTTAATCAGACTTCGTCTTTTATCACATATTGTGACACCAGTATCCTTAATCAGACTTCGTCTTTTATCACATATTGTGACACCAGTATCCTTAATCAGACTTCGTCTTTTATCACATATTGTGACACCAGTATCCTTAATCAGACTTCGTCTTTTATCACATATTGTGACACCAGTATCCTTAATCAGACTTCGTCTTTTATCACATATTGTGACACCAGTATCCTTAATCAGACTTCGTCTTTTATCACATATTGTGACACCAGTATCCTTAATCAGACTTCGTCTTTCATCACATATTGTGACACCAGTATCCTTAATCAGACTTCGTCTTTTATCACATATTGTGACACCAGTATCCTTAATCAGACTTCGTCTTTTATCACATATTGTGACACCAGTATCCTTAATCAGACTTCGTCTTTTATCACATATTGTGACACCAGTATCCTAATCAAACTGTCTTTCATCACATATTGTGGCACCTGTATCCTTATTATTCGCGGAGCCCAACTTTTTTCAAAAATGACCTTGGCTCCCGGGTCGACCTAGTCTTGAGTGGGTACCGGGTGCAGTCCCGGAAAGTAAAGGCGGCCTGTGGATGCTTAACACATCACTCTTCTTGTGCCGATTGGTCTATAAAATATAGGTCTAGCCCTATATGCCCTATAAGCCTGTCGGGGTGGAAAAGGGTCCTTTACTTTTACTTTACTTTACAGGGCCCCAGGCTGAAGCCAGGATGAGGGCTTCATATAACGAGAAATTGCATCTCACTAGAGGAAGACTTGTGATAATTACTAAATAATCTAACGACGCCAGCGATCTGATCTTTGAAATAACCATTCACACCAGCGAGCTGATCTTTGAAATAACCATTCACACCAGCGAGCTGATCGTTGGAATACATGAGAACTAAATAATTCACTCGGGCCAGTCCGTGTAATTGCTCATTTCCCAGGCAGGGTCCAGATGACCACGTCTGAGAACCCCTGAATAATACCATTGGGCAGCATTCCCACTTCTCCGCAAAGGGAATATGGGCGGTAATGGGTGTCTTTGTAGGCGGCTAATTGACTTGTTATTTCCCTTGGAGTGGCCGGGGTTATTGTGCAAACAGTCCGAGTGTTAATGGGTTGGCTGTTTGTTCGGTCTGAACGCATGGATGCTGGAACATTGAGACGGGTGGTTTCTGTCACAGGAAAAGTGGGGCCGACGATGGGGTATCAAGGGCGTAGCCAGCGGGGGGCAAAGGTAACATGGGAGTGAGTCAAAGAGAGCAGTATCATGGGATAGTATTTTATTACCATGAATTGTCCAATCATTCGCGGACATAGGAAGCGTTTTTGCCTAGTTGTCGCACTTGGTCATTTCCCTTTTGATAACTCACACGTGAATCAGCCTTGCGTTTATTTCTGTTGTTCTGTTTTCATTGTCTGACCAGACCGCCCAGGTCGACTTTTATGAAGATTGTTCTACCTTCTAGTTGTTGAGTGTGTGCTTCCGTGAAGAGAACTGTCCCTAGGTTATCAGACTCCGGCACATATCACCAACGTACGCAGGAATTCACCAAAGAACGTGGGCTTTCAAAAGTTATGACAATAGATGTCAGACTGCAGCCACTTATTCTTCCCCTCGAAATGTTTTTTCCCTCGATCTAATCTGTCTGTTAAAGAAGTTTGCTCGCAACTAAATTTTTCCTGGCTTAATGCCAGATACAATTTTAAGTTGACCAGATGGAAGTCACCCTATTGGATGTGTCTTACCACCACTGCTAATTACCACACACATCGACAGTAACAGCACTGCTGATTACCACACACATCGACAGTATCACCACTGCTGATTACCACACACATCGACAGTATCACCACTGCTGATTACCACACACATCGACAGTATCACCACTGCTGATTACCACACATATCGACAGTATCACTACTGCTGATTACCACACATATCGACAGTATCACCACTGCCGATTACCACACAAATCGACAGTATCACCACTGCTGATTACCACACACATCGACAGTATCACCACTGCTGATTACCACACACATCGACAGTATCACCACTGCTGATTACCACACATATCGACAGTATCACCACTGCCGATTACCACACACATCAACAGTTTCAGCCTTTACGCCTAGGAACGAAGAAATCATCAACATCAATTAACGACTCTCTTCTGATGTCCATGTCTTTTTATTTGTAATGACTCTCTGCTGATGTCCACGTCTTTATATCTGTAATGACTCTCTGCTGATGTCCACATCTTGATATCTGATAAAACTGTGACATTGCAACATCACATCCATACATGAGCAAGAACCCGGACCTTGTATCTCCATGGAAACTAGAAAAGGTAACAGGAAATGAAGAGGTAGTCAACGGCCATTTCATTATGGAAGAATGAATTCGAGGCTTTTGAATGTAAATGGGGATCTTACATTGGCATAAAACCAACAGCCACCAACACAAAGAACAATATGTAAGCACAGTCAAGACACTGCAATACACACACACACACACACATACACACATACACACACACACATACACATACACACACACACACACACACACACACACACACACACAAACAAATACACATTTCCAAGTATTGGCTTGAACTGATAAATAAATGTCCGAGGAAAATCAACTGAATACTTCAGTCAAACAAAATCAGATAAGCAGAACTGATGAGGGGAATCAAGCGAGTTTGTCGGTCAAATAAAATCACATACGAAAACATCCGAAGAATGATGAAAAGCATTTGTTCATCACGGGTAAACGTTCAAGAGAGCAGATGGAGATGGCTTGGACATGTCTCCACAATGCCTGGTCACGTTTGTCACGGACAGCTCTCCCGTGGACTACAGGTAGAGAGGGCTTGAACATGTCTGCACAATGCCTGGTCACGTTTGTCACGGACAGCTCTCCCGTGGACGACAGGTAGAGATGGCTTGTACATATCTGCACAATGCCTGACCACGTTTGTCACGGACAGCTCTCCCGTGGACTACAGGTAGAGATGGCTTGTCCATGTCTGCACAATGCCTGACCACGTTTGTCACGGACAGCTCTCCCGTGGACGACAGGTGGAGATGGCTTGGACATGTCTGCACAATGCCTGACCACGTTTGTCACGGACAGCTCTCCCGTGGACTACAGATGGAGATGGCTTGGACATGTCTGCACAATGCCTGACCACGTTTGTCACAGACAGCTCTCCCGTGGACGACAGGTAGAGATGGGCTGGACATGTCTGCACAATGCCTGGTCACGTTTGTCACTGACAGCTCTCCCGTGGACGACAGGTAGAGATGGCTTGTACATGTCTGCACAATGCCTGGTCACGTTTGTCACGGACAGCTCTCCCGTGGACAACAGGTGGAGATGGCTTGTACATGTCTGCACAATGCCTGGCCACGTTTGTCACGGACAGCTCTCCCGTGGACGACAGGTGGAGAAAGTGGACCACCTACTGGAACCAGGAGAAGGACAGAAGGAAAGGAAGTGATAGTAGATCAGACAACATGGGATAACATAGGCAGAGAGGCAGCAGACTGACAGCAATGGAGATACGTGCCAATGCCTTATGTATCAATAGCGACATAAAGTGAATGCACATAGTGATAGATTGGTACTGACAGCAATCAAAGAAACGGGACCTAACACATTGGCAAGTTACTCCGTACAACAAGAGCACAAACCAGAATATGGCGGCAAGTTGTCTGCTTCATGTCCCTGTGGTGCCCGCTCTATTTGCATACATTACTTGGCCCCTGTCTGGTACCGAATGGGACTCTGGAGTGGAACCTAGCACAAAGGTCACAGACATCAGGGAGAGAATAAGATAACTGTTGTCTGGTAGTTTAAATTGGTACCCTTGACATTATCATAATCGTCATTCTGAGTGATCAGTCCTTGGTCTGGTTCTAAAATCTCCGACTCATCGAACACTCTCAATTGTAATGTTTATGTTCAGCTCCCTGTAGTGGTGTGCAGTTGTCGCATAAATTCTCATGAGCCCTACTTCTCTTTCCCCCTCCACCCCACACTATCCAATTTTCGCAATACCCCCCCCCCCCGCCCCCCGTTTTCCCGCCACCTCTTTGTCCTCAAAGTTGCCTTTGTTGAGTGGGTTTTCTCTCTCTTGCTCTCTGGTTGTTTATTTTATTTGTCGTGCGCTAATTTTGTGGTTTAATTACTGAAAGTCGTCTAGCGTCTGTGGCCAAATTAAACTGTTTTTGTATCAGCTTTTAACGTCTGTGGCCACATTGAACTGTTCTTGTGTCAGCTTCTAGCGTCTGTGGCCACATTGAACTGTTCTTGTCTCAGCTTCTAGCGTCTGTGGCCACATTGAACTGTTCTTGTGTCAGCTTCTAGCGTCTGTGGCCACATTGAACTGTTCTTGTGCCAGCTTCTAGCGTCTGTGGCCACATTGAACTGTTTTTGTCTCAGCTTCTAGCGTCTGTGGCCACATTGAACTGTTCTTGTGTCAGCTTCTAGCGTTTGTGCCACATTGAACTGTTCTTGTATCAGCTTCTAACGTCTGTGGCCACATTGAACTGTTCTTGTATCAGCTTCTAGCGTCTGTGCCACATTGAACTGTTCTTGTATCAGCTTCTAGCGTCTGTGCCACATTGAACTGTTCTTGTGTCAGCTTCTAGCGTCTGTGCCACATTGAACTGTTCTTGTATCAGCTTCTAGCGTCTGTGCCACATTAAAATGTTCTTGTGTCAGCTTCTAGCGTCTGTGCCACATTAAAATGTTATTGTATCAGCTTCTAGCGTCTGTGCCACATTAAAATGTTCTTGTGTCAGCTTCTAGCGTCTGTGCCACATTAAAATGTTCTTGTGTCAGCTTCTAGCGTCTGTGCCACATTAAAATGTTCTTGTGTCAGCTTCTAGCGTCTGTGCCGCATTGAACTGTTCTTGTGTCAGCTTCTAGCGTCTGTGCCACATTGAACTGTTCTTGTATCAGCTTCTAGCGTCTGTGCCACATTAAAATTTTCTTGTGTCAGCTTCTAGCGTCTGTGCCGCATTGAACTGTTATTGTATCAGTTTTTAGCGTCTGTGCCACATTAAAATTTTCTTGTGTCAGCTTCTAGCGTCTGTGCCGCATTGAACTGTTCTTGTATCAGCTTCTAGCGTCTGTGGCCACATTGAACTGTTCTTGTATCAGCTTCTAGCGTCTGTGGCCACATTGAACTGTTCTTGTATCAGTTTCTACCGTCTGTGGCCACATTAAACAGTTCTTGTATCAACTTCTAGCGTCGTGTGGCCACAGGCACATTGAACTGTTCTTGTATCAGCTTCTAACGTCTGTGTCACATTGAACTGTTCTTGTATGAGCTTCTTGCGTCTGTGGCCACATTGAACTGTTCTTGTATTAGCTTCTAGCGTCTGTGGCCACACTGAACTGTTCTTGTATTAGCTTCTAGCGTCTGTGGCCACACTGAACTGTTCTTGTATCAGTTTGTAGCGTCTGTGGCCACATTGAACTGTTCTTGTATCAGTTTCTAGCGTCTGTGCCACATTGAACTGTTCTTTTATCAGTTTCTAGCGTCTGTGCCACATTGAACTGTTCTTGTATCAGTTTCTAGCGTCTGTGCCACATTGAACTGTTCTTGTATCAGTTTCTAGCGTCTGTGGTCACATTGAACTGTTCTTGTGTCAGTTTCTAGCGTCTGTGCCACATTGAACTGTTCTTGTATCAGTTTCTAGCGTCTGTGCCACATTGAACTGTTCTTTTATCAGTTTCTAGCGTCTGTGCCACATTGAACTGTTCTTGTATCAGTTTCTAGCGTCTGTGGCCACATTGAACTGTTCTTGTATCAGTTTCTAGCGTCTGTGCCACATTTAACTGTTCTTGTATCAGTTTCTAGCGTCTGTGCCACATTGAACTGCTCTTGTATCAGTTTCTAGCGTCTGTGGCCACATTGAACTGTTCTTGTATCAGCTCGGACTATTCCAAGATTCCATGATGTTTTTTCTTCCAGCTGCAGCCAATGACCATGCCAGAGCAAACTGCGACTGTCCAGCTCCGTGTGATTTACTTCAGTACCAACATGTGGTCTCCTACGCCAGCAAGGCACTGTTTTCTCTAGATGGCTCCCTGACACCTGCAACTCTGGCCCCAGTCAGGAAGAGATACCTGCAGGCAAGGTATGAAACTCTAACCAATAATGATCTAACTCATCATGTTCATGGACATAATTATCTTCTTCTTTGTCTTCTGCTTATGTTGGATTGGGGAAGATGGTTAGGGAAACAAGGATCTACCGTGTGCTCTGTTGTGTGTTTTGTCTTCATTTACCTAAATCTAATTTTGATACTTGCTTGCCTTGCTCTGTGTCCACTGTATTTCTATAGCATAGCAATCTTCTATCGAGGCATTCTGCTCACATGGAAGAACCAATTTATACGTTTTAGGGGCACAATTATAAGCAGAAACAATTCTAAACGTTGACTGTTGGAAGTGTTCGAATTCATCTGTAGTCTCTTCTCATTGAACACGTGGACACATTGAAACAAACACTCGAGCATGCGCGCTGGCGCACACATATGTACCTGAGCTGATTATTAACACCACATATTATTATTTGTATTATGATGATTAGTATCATTATTATTATTATCTTTCTGATAGACTCACCCAGTTCCTGCTGGTGTACACACATATCGATCTAACGCCACAGCTCTAATCCTGGAAACGGTGCATCAATGATTATTTGTATGTTTGAAACATGAGCCATGGTTCTCTTGTCAGCCCTTTTACAATACGTTCCATAAAATGTTCTGTGTCGTAAAACTAGTACCATTATAAACTGGTACTATTGAAAACTGGTACTATTGGAAACTGGTACTATTGTAAACTGGTACTATTGGATACTGGTACTATTGGATACTGGTACTATTAGAAACTAGTACTATTGGAAACTGGTACTATTGGAAACTGGTACTATTGGATACTGGTACTATTGGATACTGGTACTATTAGAAACTAGTACTATTGGAAACTGGTACTATTGGAAACTGATACTATTGGATACTTTACTATTGGAAACTGATACTATTGGAAACTCGTACTATTTGAAACTGGAACTATTGGAAACCCTCAGACACAGAAAGGCCTTACACAATGTTAACCAATAAGATACTTAACATATCCCCGAGCTCCAACTTTGCCTTGTCATGATAACGTAAAACAGTTTATCCCCGAGCTCTAACTTGACTTGTCACGCCAACATATAATAGTTTATTCCCGAGCTCCACCTTGCCTTACGCTAACGTATAACAGTTTATTCCCGAGCTCCAACTTTGCTAACGTATAACAGTTTATCCCCGAGCCCCAACTTTGCTTGTCATGCTAACGTATAACAGTTTATTCCCGAGCTCCAACTTTGCTAACGTATAACAGTTTATTCCCTAGCTCCAACTTGCCTTGTCATGCTAACGTATAACAGTTTATCCCCGAGCTCCAACTTTGCCTTGTCATGATAACGTATACGTATAACAGTTGATTCCCCAACCCCAACTTGCCTTGTGATGTTAACGTATAAACAGTTAGTGACCACGTCTGTTGTTTGTGTAATGTGAACAGGGAGACCACCTCACGTCTGGACCGGGTCAAGTGGCAACAGTTGACCACCACAACCAACGAGATAAGATCTAGTTTCCGTAACCTACAGAGTGAGATGAGCAGGGGTCTTCTCAGCAGTCTTCTTAATCAGAAAAGTGCCCTCAACTTGATACATCAGAGAATGAACAACGCTTGGACCAAGAAGATCTATCTTCTACAATGGCAGAAATATCACCTGGAGAAGAACTTTGTGAAAGCCAAAGATGAAATGGAAGAAAAAAGCATGTACAATTTGGGGCTTGGGTACGAAGAATTTGCCTACCAGATCAAGACCAGAATCCAGCAGCTAGCTCACAGTTGGTGGAATATGACCATCCCGGAAGCTACCAGAACGTCTATGTATGTGGAAGTGCTCAACATGCTCCACGGCCGCTTGCTACTGGCAGATAAAGCTTACGAGAGCTATCTTCAGCTGTATGATGCTTTCAGCAACGGAGAACCCATTTTCACATACCAGTTCCAAAATGAGTCTGTAGATGATAATGATTACATCACACCCAGGGCTCTGCTGAACCAGTCAATTTCCCGTCATGACTTCTCTTCTAACGACACGGTTACCCTGATCGAGGACATTCAGTACATCAAGGACATCCTGCAATCCTACCTTTCACTAGCCAACAGATACTTCTATGCAAACACGTCAAGTCCTGAAGAACTAGAAACATACAATTCTCAGATCCTGGAGTGGGGTCCCCGCTTTCTACAAAGCAAGAATGTTTTTTACACCGACAGCGTCGACTATCCGGTCAAGATAATGCAAGACAAACTACAGAAGTTTGAGCAGAGATGGCGGGATTTTGAAGAAGACTTGAAACCGATGACAGTTAAACTGGACATGTTGTTAGTTAACTTAAGCAAACATCAAAACAACATGATCAGTGTACTGGAGCAGAATATCGCCAAAGCAGAGATGCACGTTTCGGTTAGAAACGTCTCAAAACAACAGATGGCCGAAGTGTTCACAAACGAACAGTTTCTCAAAGGTGTCAGCGAACTGACCACATTCTTCGGTGAGCTACGAGCACGTGGTCAAGAAGTTTACGATGGTTGGTCAGCTCTAAACCGGTCAACCAAAGCCATCTGGGCGATGATACTAGACGACGAGAACATGCTGGAGTACTACCGCTACACCAATGAAACTCTCTACTTACACTCGTTGGCTGAGGTTTCCAGCGAAGTGGCCAGAAACTTCTCACGACTTCGAGACACCAACAACGTCCAACACAAGATCAGCCAGGTCGATGGGTCGTTTGTCCGCAGTTTCCAAAGGATGGTAGCTCTGATGAAAGAATTCATTGCAGGCAGCGACATTGACGCGGAGTTTCTCAAGTAATTATTGGTGCTTGTGATGTCACGTCACTGTTTCTGTGTGTCACATTCTAGTCAACTATAGCATATTCCTGTCACCTATGTTACATCCATGTCATTAATATCACGCTGGTGTCATATTGAGGTCATATTGATGTTACAGTCCTCTCGTTGGTGTCACTTTCCTTAATTTGTGCCATAATGATGCTATAATGATACAAGATTGATGCCATACTGATGTCATAATGATACCAGATTGATGCAATAATGATAACAGATTGAGGCCATAATGATACCAGATTGATGCCATAATGATATCAGATTGATGCCATACTGATGCCATATTGATGCCATACTGATGCCATATTGATGCCATACTGATGCCATATTGATGTCATAATGATAACAGATTGAGGCCATAATGATACCAGATTGATGCCATAATGATACCAGATTGATGCCATAATGATACCAGATTGATGCCATAATGATACCAGATTGATGCCATAATGATTCCAGATTGATGCCATAATGATAACAGATTGGGGCCATAATGATACCAGATTAATGCCATAATGATACCAGATTGATGCCATAATGATACCAGATTGATGCCATAATGATACCATATTGATGCCATAATGATACCATATTGATGACATAATGATATCAGATTGATGCCACAGTCATACCATATTGATGCCATAATGATACCAGATTGAAGCCACAATGATACCAGAGTGATGCCATAATGATACCATATTGATGCCATAATGATACCATATTGATGACATAATGATACCAAATTGATGCCACAGTCATACCATATTGATGCCATAATTATACCAGATTGAAGCCATAATGATACCAGATTGATGCCATAATGATACCAGATTGATGTCATAATGATACCATAATGATACCAGTTTAATTCCATAATGATACCATACTGATGCCATAATGATACCAGATTGATGCCAGCATGATACCAGATTGATTTTATAATGATACCATAATGATACAAGATTAATGCCATAATGATACCATACTGATTCCATAATGATGCCAGATTGATGCCCCAATGATACCAGATTGATGCCCAAATGATACTAGATTGATGCCATAATGATACCAGATTGATGCCATAATGATACCATATTGATGTCATAATGATACCAGATTGATGCCATAATGATACTAAATTGATGCCATAATGATACCAGTTTGATGCCACAATGATATCAGATTGATGCTATAATGATACCAGATTGATGCCACATTGATGCCATATTGATACCACATTGACTCCCTGGTCTGTCAATGGTGTGAGATTTGTCTTGAGCACGTAACGTTGAGAGATCCCGTTGATTGTTAATGACAGTGGACCAGTTTCATCTTCATGTCCCCGATATGCCCCAGACTGAATGACAAACTTTATGGTTGCTAGCCTCTCTACACAGACAACTATGGGAGGACATGATCAGACAGTCTCCTACAGGGACAACTATGGGAGGACATGATCAGACAGTCTCACTACATGGACAACTATGGGAGGACATGATCAGACAGTCTCCTACAGGGACAACTATGGGAGGACATGATCAGACAGTCTCACTACATGGACAACAATGGGAGGACATGATCAGACTGTCTCCTACAGGGACAACTATGGGAGGACATGATCATACAGTCTCACTACAGGAACAACTATGGGAGGACATGATCATACAGTCTCCAACAGGGACAACTATGGGAGGACATGATCAGACAGTCTCACTACAGGGACAACTATGGGAGGACATGATCAGACAGTCTCCTACAAGGACAACTATGGGAGGACATGATCAGACAGTCTCCTACGTGGACAACTATGGGAGGACATGATCAGACAGTCTCCTACGTGGACAACTATGGGAGGACATGATCAGACAGTCTCACTACATGGACAACTATGGGAGGACATGATCAGATAGTCTCCTACAGGGACAACTATGGGAGGACATAATCAGACTCTGCTACAGGATCAACTATGGGAGGACATGATCAGACAGTCTTACCACGCCAACAACTATGGACGAACATGATAATGGTCCCTGGTGAGCAGCCACATGGTTGAAACACTTAATGATGGTGATGATAGTTGTTAAGGTGGTGATAATAATGATCACGATGAAGCTGATGATGATGAAGATGGTGGTGGTGGTACTGTAGATGATAACGATGATTTTTTTTTTACAGCCTCAACGAACCACTATGTAATGTGTTTAGAATAGAAGAGAAAGACAACCAATTGTACCAACGACGATAACAGGATTTATTCCATTCGACAGGGTTTGAGTTTTTAATGGTCTATCTATTTTATTATTCATGTATGGAAGGCTGTTTTCCCACCTTAGGTTTTCTTCTGTTTGCAGAAACAATTTTCTACGGCTGGATGTTTACTACAAGCGGGCTGGTTATGAAGAAATCACACAGCGGGCGGATTTTGACGTGTTTGCCTTACTTTGTAAGTTGTTTACCTTTCAATGTTTCCTTTTAGCGTCGATAACAAAATGTAACCTGACATTCGAATGGTAATGTCAAAACAGTCTATTCTACACGACTGACATGTAATGTGTTCTGAACAAGCGAAATCCTGGGTGATTTAGGCAGATGAAGTCTGGCATGTTGTGGACAGATGAAGTCTGGCATGTTGTGGACAGGTGAAGTCTGGCATGTTGTGGACAGGTGACATTTAAAATGTTTTGGACAGGTGACATCTAGAATGTTTTGGACAGGTGACATTTAGAATGTTTTGGACAGGTGACATCTAGAATGTTTTGGACAGGTGACATTTAGAATGTTTTGGACAGGTGACATCTAGAATGTTTTGGACAGGTGACATCTAGAATGTTTTGGACAGGTGACATCTAGAATGTTTTGGACAGGTGACATCTAGAATGTTTTGGACAGGTGACATCTAGAATGTTTTGGACAGGTGACATCTGGGACGTTTTGGACAGGTGACATCTAGGATGTTTTGGACAGGTGACATCTCGAATGTTTTGGAAAAGGTGACATCTAGGATGTTTTGCACAGGTGACATCTCGAATGTTTTGGAAAGGTGACATCTAGGATGTTTTGGACAGGTGACATCTAGAATGATTTGGACAGGTGACATTTAGAATGTTTTGAACAGGTGACATTTAGGATGTTTTGAACAGATGACATTTAGAATGTTTTGAACAGGTGACATTTAGGATGTTTTGAACAGGTGACATCTAGAATGTTTTGGACAGGTGACATTTAGAATGTTTTAAACAGGTGACATTTAGAATGTTTTGAACAGGTGACATTTAGAATGTTTTGAACAGGTGACATTTAGGATGTTTTGAACAGGTGACATCTTAGATGTTTTGAACAGGTGACATCTAGGATGTTTTGGACAGGTGACATCTAGGATGTTTTGGACAGGTGACATCTAGAATGTTTTGAACAGGTGACATCTAGGATGTTTTGGACAGGTGACATCTAGGATGTTTTGGATAGGTGACATCTAGGATGTTTTGGACAGGTAACATTTAGAATGTTTTGAACAGGTGACATCTAGGATGTTTTGAACAGCAGAAATGTGCATAAAAATGTTGTAAAAGAGGCAAAGACAGAAAACAGAAAACAAATATCAGAAACTGGCTGTTGTCATTTTGTTTACACATTGTGAGCAACGAAAAAAACATTGAATTATTAAACTTATGAGGAATGTCAGAAAGAGACAAAAGTTCAATGAAAACATAATATGTTTGGTCATATTTCAAGGTACAGAAATATGTCAAGGGGCAGATAATGTTTCATGGACCTCCTAAATTATCTCTTAGGACCGAAAATATTTCATAGCACAGACAATATTTTATGGGACTGAAAATATGTCAACGGAATCGAAATATTTTTGGAAGTAGCTTCTTATGTCTTCTTATGATTCTGTTTTCACTAGATATATTTTACGACAGAAATCCTTAGTTGATTGTATGTAGACAGCGATTTCTTATTTCTGCCGGACTTGAGTGTTGTCAATACGTCTGTTATCCAGATCAGACGTTATATGCAGACTGTTGGTTCATTGCCTCTCAAAGCAGATGCACCTCGACCCTATCTACGTTAGACACATCCCACCCTTTGTCCCTTTCCGGTAGCGTACCCGTAGCTGTGTAGATAGATAGATCCTACAAGTATGGGTCCCTGTCCCAGTGCAGTCTTCCCTCCTGTTGGGGACAAAGAACTATGTAGATAGATCCTACAAGTATGGGTCCCTGTCCCAGTGCAGTCTTCCCTCCTGTTGGGGACAAAGAACTATGTAGATAGATCCTACAAGTATGGGTCCCTGTCCCAGTGCAGTCTTCCCTCCTGTTGGGGACAAAGAACTATGTAGATAGATCCTACAAGTATGGGTCCCTGTCCCAGTGCAGTCTTCCCTCCTGTTGGGGACAAAGAACTATGTAGATAGATCCTACAAGTATGGGTCCCTGTCCCAGTGCAGTCTTCCCTCCTGTTGGGGACAAAGAACTATGTAGATAGATCCTACAAGTATGGGTCCCTGTCCCAGTGCAGTCTTCCCTCCTGTTGGGGACAAAGAACTATGTAGATAGATCCTACAAGTATGGGTCCCTGTCCCAGTGCAGTCTTCCCTCCTGTTGGGGACAAAGAACTATGTAGATAGATCCTACAAGTATGGGTCCCTGTCCCAGTGCAGTCTTCCCTCCTGTTGGGGACAAAGAACTATGTAGATAGATCCTACAAGTATGGGTCCCTGTCCCAGTGCAGTCTTCCCTCCTGTTGGGGACAAAGAACTATGTAGATAGATCCGACATGTTTGGGTCCCTGTCCCAGTGCAGTCTTCCCTCCTGTTGGGGACAAAGAACTATGTAGATAGATCCGACATGTTTGGGTCCCTGTCCCAGTGCAGTCTTCCCTCCTGTTGGGGACAAAGAACTATGTAGATAGATCCGACATGTTTGGGTCCCTGTCCCAGTGCAGTCTTCCCTCCTGTTGGGGACAAAGAACTATGTAGATAGATCCGACATGTTTGGGTCCCTGTCCCAGTGCAGTCTTCCCTCCTGTTGGGGACAAAGAACTATGTAGATAGATCCGACATGTTTGGGTCCCTGTCCCAGTGCAGTCTTCCCTCCTGTTGGGGACAAAGAACTATGTAGATAGATCCGACATGTTTGGGTCCCTGTCCCAGTGCAGTCTTCCCTCCTGTTGGGGACAAAGAACTATGTAGATAGATCCGACATGTTTGGGTCCTTGTCCCACTATAGTCTTCCCTCCTGTTGGAGACAAAGAACTATGTAGATAGATCCGACATGTTTAGGTCCTTGTCCCAGTGCAGTCTTCCCTCCTGTTGGATACAAAGAACTATGTAGATAGATCCGACAAGTCTGGGTCATTGTCCCACTGCTGTCTTCCCCACATTCCTACATTTCACATCTCCTTGTGACATATCTTTTTTTTACAATCTCACAGTCACACTTTTTCCCATTACACATCTCCCCGCCACACATTTCCACATTGCACATCTCCCCGCTACACATTTCCACATTGGACACCTCCCCGCTACACGTTTCCACATTGGACATCTCCCAGCTACACGTTTCCACATTGGACATCTCCCCGCTACACATTTCCACATTGGACACCTCCCCGCTACACGTTTCCACATTGGACACCTCCCCGCTACACGTTTCTACATTGGACATCTCCCCGCTACACATTTCCACATTGGACACCTCCCCGCTACACGTTTCCACATTGGACATCTCCCCGCTACACGTTTCCACATTGGACATCTCCCCGCTACACGTTTCCACATTACACATCTCCCCGCCACACTTTTCAAAACTGCACATCTCCCCGCTACACATTTCCACATTGCACATCTCCCCGCTACACGTTTCCACATTGGACACCTCCCCGCTACACGTTTCACATTGGACATCTCCCCGCTACACGTTTCCACATTGGATATCTCCCCGCTACACGTTTTCACATTGGACATCTCCCCGCTACACGTTTCCACATTGGACATCTCCCCGCTACACGTTTCCACATTGCACATCTCCCCGCTACACGTTTCCACATTGGACATCTCCCCGCTACACGTTTCCACATTGGACATCTCCCCGCTACACGTTTCCACATTGGACATCTCCCCGCTACACATTTCCACATTGCACATCTCCCCGCTACACATTTCCACATTGCACATCTCCCCGCTACACGTTTCCACATTGGACACCTCCCCGCTACACGTTTCCACATTGGACATCTCCCCGCTACACGTTTCCACATTGGACATCTCCCCGCTACACGTTTCCACATTGCACATGGCCCTGCAACACTTTTCCACATTGCACATGGCCCTGCAACACTTTTCCACATTGCACATCTCCATGCCCCACTTTTCCACATTGCACATGGTCCTGCAACACTTTTGCACATTGCACATGGCCCTGCAACACTTTTCCACATTGCACATGGCCCTGCAACACTTTTCCACATTGCACATCTCCACGCCCCACTTTTCCACATTGCACATGGCCCTGCAACACTTTTTCACATTGCACATCTCCACGCCCCACTTTTCCACATTGCACATCTCCACGCCCCACTTTTCCACATTGCACATCTCCACGCCCCACTTTTCCACATTGCACATCTCCACGCCCCACTTTTCCACATTGCACATCTCCACGCCCCACTTTTCCACATTGCACATCTCCACGCCCCACTTTTCCACATTGCACATGGCCCTGCCACACGTTTCCACATTTCACATCCCTCTGCCACACGTTTCCACATTGCACATGGCCCTGCCACATCTCTTCCCCTGACACATTGACTTCTCTTGCAGGTGACATCGGCGGGACCATGGCCTTCTATCTCGGAGCCAGTGTGCTGACTGTCTGTGAGCTGCTAGACTTGGGTTTGCATCACTTCATCTACAAGCTGACCCACAACGACAAGATCCATGGCGACGAATGAACGAGCAACTCCACGTGTACGCGTGACCGAGAAACTTCACTGGCAAGGATAAATGAGACACTTCACGGGCAGGGATAAATGAGACACTTCACGGGCAGGGATAAACAAGAAACGTCACGGGCAGGCATAAACGAGAAACTTCACGGGCAGGGATAGACAAGAAACTTCACGGGCAGAGATAGACGAGAAACTTCACTGGCATGGATAAATGAGATACATCAGGGGCAGGCATAAACGAGAAACGTCAGGGGCAGGAATAAACGAGAAACTTCACGGGCAGAGATAGACGAGAAACTTCACTGGCATGGATAAATGAGATACTTCACGGGCAGGGATAAATAAGACAATTCACGGGCAGGAATAAACGAGAAACTTCACGGGCAGGGATAAACGAGAAACGTCACGGGCAGGAATAAACGAGAAACTTCACTGGCAGGGATGAACGAGATGGACAAGGATATGGCATTTGTCAATTTTGTCATGAGAGCTACAATTTTGTCAGCGGATGTTTGCCGATTGCATTAAATATGATTGTGTGTGTGTGTGTGTGTGTGTGTGTGTGTGTGTGTGATAACTGTTTCTAATACCGACAGATGGACAAATGCATCGACTGACAGACATATGGGTAGATAACTAGACAGACACATCTGCAGTCTAATACAGAAATAAAGTATAGGAGAGGATAATTGAGATATAAAGGAGAGACATTAAAAAATGTCAGAGAAATGTGGAGCGAAAGAGATGCAGACTGTGTGAATGTCTGTGTGTGTGAGTGTGTGTGTGTCTATGTGTGTGTGTGTGTGTGTGTGTGTGTGTGAGAGAGAGAGAGAGAGAGAGAGAGAGAGAGAGAGAGAGAGAGAGAGAGAGAGAGCGCGGTCGCGCCCGGAAGAAAGCGAATGACAGAAAAACGACAGAAAGAGAAAGGTGAGAATGTGGAGTGAATGGGATGGGGAGCGGTGAAAGAGAGAATGAGGGATTGGAGGACCGGCAAGAGTGGCTGCAGTTTCGTCCAGTTAGTTAGATGCGTTTCTATTGTTTGTTTCATGTGGTTTCAAGTGTGTCCACGATTTGACTATTGTATGCGTTCTTGTCTTCAAGAGTGGAAGCCAGAGATATTCACAAGCACAACCAGCATCACCACTACAACCACAACCAGCATCACCACCACAACCACAACCAGCATCACCACCACAACCACAACCAGCATCACAACCACAACCAGCATCACCATCACAACCACAACCAGCAGCACCACCACAACCACAACCAGCATCACAACCACAACCAGCATCACCACCACAACCAGCATCACCATCACAACCACAACCAGCATCACAACCACAACCAGCATCACCACCACAACCACAACCAGCATCACCACCACAACCAGCATCACCACCACAACCAGCATCACCATCACAACCACAACCAGCATCACCACCACAACCAGCATCACAACCACAACCAGCATCACCACCACAACCAGCATCACCACCACAACCAGCATCACCACCACAATCACAACCAGCATCACCACCACAACCACAACCAGCATCACAACCACAACCAGCATCACCATCACAACCAGCATCACAACCACAACCACAACCAGCATCACCACCAGAACCACAACCAGCATCACCATCACAACCACAACCAGCATCACCACCACAACCAGCATCACAACCACAACCAGCATCACCACCACAACCACAACCAGCATCACCACCACAACCAGCATCACCATCACAACCAGCATCACCATCACAACCACAACCAGCATCACAACCACAACCAGCATCACCACCACAACCACAACCAGCATCACCACCACAACCAGCATCACCACCACAACCAGCATCACCATCCCAACCACAACCAGCATCACCACCACAACCAGCATCACCACCACAACCAGCATCACCACCACAACCAGCATCACAACCACAACCAGCATCACCACCACAACCAGCATCACCACCACAACCAGCATCACCACCACAACCACAACCAGCATCACCACCACAACCACAATCAGCATCACCATCACAACCAGCATCACCACTACAACCACAACCAGCATCACCATCACAACCTGCATCACCATCACAACCAGCATCACCATCACAACCAGCATCACCACCACAACCAGCATCACCACCACCACCACAACCAGCATCACCACCACAACCTGCACCACCACCACAACCAGCATCACCATCACAACCTGCATCACCATCACAACCAGCATCACCACCACAACCAGCATCACCACCACAACCTGCATCACCATCACAACCTGAATCACCATCACAACCTGCATCACCATCACAACCTGCAACACCATCACAACCTGCATCACCACCACAACCTGCATCATTATCACAACCACCATCACCACCACAACCACCATCACCATCACAACCTGCATCACCATCACAACCAGCATCACCACCACAACCACCAACACCACCACAACCTGCATCACCATCACAGCCAGCATCACCATCACAACCTGCATCATCATCACAACCTGCATCACCACCACAACCTGCATCACCACCACAACCTGCATCACCACCACAACCTGCATCACCATCACAACCTGCATCACCATCACAACCAGCATCACCATCACAACCAGCATCACCATCACAACCAGCATCACCATCACAACCACCACCAACATCACCATCACAACCACCACCAACATCACCATCACAACCACCACTAACATCACCATCACAACCACCACTAACATCACCATCGTCATCACAACCACCACCAACATCACCATTACAACCACCACCAACATCACCATCGCCATCACAACCACCACTAACATCACCATTACAACCACCACCAACATCACCAACACAACCACCACCAACATCACCATCACAACCACCACCAACATCACTATCACAACCACCACCAACATCACCATTACAACCACCACCAACATCACCATCACAACCACCACCAACATAACCATTACAACCACCACCAACATCACCATTACAACCACCACCAACATCACCATCGCCATCACAACCACCACTAACATCACCATCGCCATCACAACCACCACCAACATCGCCATCACAACCACCACCAACATCACCATCACAACCACCACCAACATCACCATCACAATCACCACCAACATCACCATCACAACCACCACCCACATCGCCATCACAACCACGACCAACATCGCCATCACAACCACCACTAACATCACCATCGCAACCACCACCAACATCACCATCACAACCACCACCAACATCACCATCGCAACCACCACTAACATCGCCATCACAACCACCACCAACATCACAACCACCACTAACATCACCATCACCATCACAACCACCACCAACATCACCATCACAACCACCACCACAGGTGTCATCATCATTACCGTCATTATCCTGACGTGCCGTGCCGATGCACAGTTTTTATGACTGTTCTACGATAGTTGTATCGACTCATTTGTTCCAGAAATTTGCATGGAATTTGTTTTCTGATATTTCATTCTTCTCGAAGATTACCATAATTTCTGTTTTCTTACAAGCTCCAGGTCAAATGAATATTAAACAGCGACTGGAAACACGTGTGCACTTTAGTCAACCAAATATCTATACATAACGCTGAACGACAACAGCAGCAGCAGCAGCAGCAGCAGCAGCAGCAGAAAAAAGAAGAAGAAGAAGAAGAAGAAAGAGGAGGAGTGGGTGGAGAAGGAGGCGTAGGAGGGGTGGTGGCTATGGAGGAGGAAGAGAGAGTGGAGGAGGAGTATGTAGTGGTGATGAAGCCTAAGTTGAGTAACAGAAGCATGCCAAGAGAAATGAATGCAAACGTAATTGACCACATCACGCGTCAGACGTTACACATGAAATATCTGACATCATTCATCTGAAACCACACATGAAATATCTGACATCATACATCTGAAACCACACATGAAATATCTGACATCATACATCTGAAACCACACATGAAATATCTGACATCATACATCTGAAACCACACATGAGATATCATATATTAAACATCAGATATCAAATGTGAGATATCAGATATGATACATCAGACATCACACAATAGGTTTCAGACATCACACATCAGAAACCACACATCATACATTAAATATAGGACATCACACACATTAGACATTACACATAAGACATCAGATATCACACATCAAACATCCCACATAAGACATCACACATCATACATCAGATATCAGACATTGCACACCTAAGCCTAGCAACATAACGATGCAGCAGAATCGAGGGTGTATAAGCTGGAAGAATGATTCCGCTGGTAATGAGCAGCAGGCCTGGACACTAATTTGTTGACCTCCTGAACGAGTGAACTTGAGCAGCAGGCCTGGACACAAATTTGTTGACCTCCTGAACGAGTGAACTTGAGCAGCAGGCCTGGACACTAATTTGTTGACCTCCTGAACGGGTGAACTTGAGCAGCAGGCCTGGACACTAATTTGTTGACCTCCTGAACGGGTGAACTTGAGCAGCAGGCCTGGACACTAATTTGTTGACCTCCTGAACGGGTGAACTTGAGCAGCAGGCCTGGACACTAATTTGTTGACCTCCTGAACGGGTGAACTTGAGCAGCAGGCCTGGACACTAATTTGTTGACCTCCTGAACGGGTGAACTTGAGCAGCAGGCCTGGACACTAATTTGTTGACCTCCTGAACGAGTGAACTTGAGCAGCAGGCCTGGACACAAATTTGTTGACCTCCTGAACGAGTGAACTTGAGCAGCAGGCCTGGACACTAATTTGTTGACCTCCTGAACGGGTGAACTTGAGCAGCAGGCCTGGACACTAATTTGTTGACCTCCTGAACGGGTGAACTTGAGCAGCAGGCCTGGACACTAATTTGTTGACCTCCTGAACGGGTGAACTTGAGCAGCAGGCCTGGACACTAATTTGTTGACCTCCTGAACGGGTGAACTTGAGCAGCAGGCCTGGA